CCTACGGCTCTACGCCGCCGCCGCCACCGCCCAACGCGACAGGCAGCGTAGCAGGTGAGAAAGCAGCGTGTTGCACGCACGGTATCTGTGCGGTAGGGTGATAAGCTGTCGATAGACGCTGTCTGCAGCGAGGTTATTGTGTAGTTAACTAGAAAACTAGACTGACAAATCTAACAAACCTGGTAAGCGACAATCAATAATGTACAAAAGCGGGCGAGAGAGAGACGAGAGAGAGGAAGAGCGTAAACAGGAAATGTGTTTAGTCGTTGGCGCGAGCGAGTAGTGATGGTGTGTTGAGGATTCTACGTGACGGTCAGTGTGGGGTGGGGCGTAAGTAGTCTAAGAGGAGCGAATACTGGCAAACCAAACCAACCGTCTGGGTTGGTAAAGCAGTCTCCACACGAACACGGAACAAGCGCTTAAAGAGTGGAGAAGAAGTGACACAGAATACGCGAGTCACGGATAGCAGCTCTAGATAATAACTCTGCCTCGGCACAGTTGGTCGAGCGACAACGGTAAGGGAACGTCTGCGTACAGTCGATGTACATCTGGCGGCTGAATCCTGCTTCAGTAACCATGGCTGAAGCCTGAGAGAGTACTGGTGTGCAACAGAACAGGCGCGTCCATCAGCGGAGCGCTGAGAGCGCGAGTCAGAGAAGAACCGCAGCAGAGAATGGTCGAGAAACACAAACAAAGAAAGCATGTCTAAAGATATTTGAGAAATGGAATCAACACACATGGAAACTAATTTTTGGTAGCCTTCGTAAGTACAGGCAACGAAGAACGCTTACACTCGTGCGCACCGCTCAAAAAGCTGTTCTTCCGACGCGTCTGTACCAACAGAAAGATTCAAGCATGCACAGTGTAACCCAAGCCCATCGTGATGTCACACGGTAACTGACCACACCTGGCGAGGTACACGGCTACAGGCACTGCAGTTCAGAAACAGGGTCAACAAGGACACAAGTATCTTCAGATGTGTTTCACTACAGAGAGCTTGACCTGACGTAACGTGAAGTAAGATGTGAGTCTTAAAGGTGCCTTTCGCTTTAACGTGTAAAAGGTCACTAGAGGGAATGCGTCAAAGAAAAGAGAACAAATAAGCGTGAAAAAATCTATCGGTTATACAAGAACGTTCTGCTGTATCGAGTAAACAGTGACTGCGAAGCTGTATTGATTCTGTTTATCTGCAGTTTATCGAGATGAAGCATGAGCGGGCAGCTGCCAACCAGGACAGAGAAACAGTGAAACCTCACAAACAGCAGAGACCAGGAGCCGAGTGGGAGAGGGCCCCGTCTCCCAGGGTTCATAGCGACTCCACGCTTCCACCCGTCGTAGAAAACGGTGGCGTTTTACCTCCCGAATCCTACTTCGCCATCGACTACGAGCAGCAGCAGCAGCTCCGTATGAACACAGGCTTTCAGAGCATCGATCCGCAGAAGATCCCCGAACCGGGGACCGAATCAGAGACGACCCTCAGCCCGAGTCCCGTGCACAGCCTGGATACGGACCTGGACGTCCCCATGGAAACGGACATCGACGATTTCCAGGAGGACGAGGGGCTTCCAGTGGAGGACGAGCCGATCACCAGCGAGCTCCCGTGCTTCGCGCTGCCGGTGACCGTTCTGGAGACGGACATCGACACCATGCCGGACTCCGAGGCCTCGCCGTCGGGCCGGACGAGGGCGGAGAGCGGCTCGCTGGAGGAGGAGCTGGAGGCCGGGGAGGAGAGCGGCAGCAGCGGCAGGGAGAGGCTGAGCCTGGAGGAGTTCTTCCCCCAGAGCAGTGAGGGAGAGTCGGGCACGGAGAGCTGGAGAGGGGCCTACCAAACCACGGAGCACAACACCGACAGCTTGGATAGGTAACGAGAGAGCGGGCGGAGAGAGGGAGCAGCTTAAAGTCTGAGCGGTGGAATGTGTGTGTGTGTGTGTCGTGCATTAATTACACAGACCATTTGATTTGTACAAGACCTAACTGTTCTTGTCACTAAGCTTATTCCGTCTTTCCCACAACCTTTCCAGAGCACCTTGCTTGCAGCCAGCTCTCCCCTCTCTCCCTTGTCTCTCCCCCCTCTCTCTCTCTCCCCCCGTTACAAATGGTTTGTTTTTACAGACACAGGTGCCAGATGGGTAACTGCTACCACATAGAGAGTTTAGATTATCACAGGTGCATTTATAGGACGTTAGAGGGTTTTCTTTGACATATATCTTAATACGGCGAACTATATATATAAAAGTGGAGTTTATTTATTTGCTTGTTTTGAGTTAAGATGATTTCCATACGTCTTTTTGTCCAGATAAGTGATTGCGTCGCTTATTTATGTACTTTTATAATCACAGTATTTGATGACTGTGCGTCTGTTTTGTGTGTTTTATCTCTGCGTAAATAAAATAAACTCTCCTCTCTCCCCTCAGGCGGTCCGGCGCGAGCTCCAGCTGTTCGTCCTATTACAGCACGTCGGCGGCCAAAGCTCAGCTCCTGTCGCAGATGAAGGACTTCACTGATAACAGAGAGCGGCACGAGGACGACGAGCTGACCTACAAGGTAAACACTGCTGTCTTTAACTCACCCAGGAAGATAAGTCTTCACACGGTTGGTGATGTTGACAGACTCTCTCCTCCTGTCGTGCAGAAACAGCTGATGGAGAGCCTCCGCAAGAAGCTGGGAGTGCTGAGGGAAGCTCAGAGGGGACTGCAGGACGACATCAGAGCCAACGCACAGCTGGGAGAGGAGGTGGGGAGACACTTCACCCTCTAATCCATTCATCTTTTATCATTGTAACCCCCTAAAACTGGTTACAGAGCTCTCTTGTTCACTTTTATGTGTATTTTAGAGCTTTAACTCACATCTAATTTAGCATATTTCTAAGAATTGGTTAAATAAGTACTTGTTGTGTTGTAGATAAACCAGTTGATTAGTGGTTTGATTCAACATTTAATCTATAAAATGGCAAAAAATGAAAAAAAAAAAAATGCTCCTTTCAAGTCCAATGAGCTCAAACTGCTTATTTTGTACGATTAACAGTCCAAACCCCCCAAAAACATCCAATTTCAGTCAAATTCAATCAACACAGCGGCAAATCTTCACATTTTAGAAGCTTAAATGTCCAGAATATTTCTGCCACTGTTATTGAGGGATGCAGAATGGCTGCATTGCCAACAAGCTACTCTCAGATACTGTTCTCGTTCACCATCTTAAGCACCAAATCAAACCACAGGAGCATTGTGGGGACCCCTATTTAATATAGTCCGTCTGTCTTGTGTCCTCAGGTGGAGAACATGGTGGTGGCGGTGTGTAAGCCCAACGAGATGGACAAGTTCCGCATGTTCATCGGCGATCTGGACAAGGTGGTCAGCCTGCTGCTGTCGCTGTCCGGGCGTCTGCTGCGAGTGGAGACCACGCTGGACACACTGGACCCCGAGACGGAGCACCATGAGAGGGTGAGCAGAGGGGGTCAGCGAGGTGCACGAGGAGTTGTAACATTTTACATGATATTCTGTCACTAAATATAGCCACACAACATCACTCTCTTGTCTCTCTCCCCCGTCCTCCCCTCTCTCTCTCTGCCCTCTAGCTCCCCCTGCTGGAGAAGAAGCGTCAGCTCATGAGGCAGCTGTCTGAGGCTCAGGACCTGAAGGACCACGTCGACCGCAGAGAGCAGGCCGTCAGCCGGGTGCTGGCCCGCTGCCTCTCCCCCGAGCAGCACCGAGACTACAGGTACAACTAAATACAACTCTGTCGTCTGTTGTGGTAGATGTTTAGTATGAAACACACTGAATAAAGGTTTAATGAAGGTTCACAGCAATGGATTTTTATCTAATTCCAGCTTTGATATGATGTAAAATATGGCTCTAGTCTGTGAAAGTTTTTGGAAGAAGGGAGGTTTATACCGACAAAGAAGTAAATGTTTTATTGGCCACAAAATTTAGAAAATATATAAAAGATGTAAGATGAAGATACTGAGCTCTAACAGGGTTAAGAGACTAGTTTTCCAGTCATGGAAATTGATTAAAATTACCAAATATTCTGGAAATTAACTATGTTGTCCTGGAAAATTTAAATTGGATTCGGCTAGAACAGCCAAGTTTGCTACGAAAGCGAGCTAACACAGTGTGCCATAATCACTGACCGCCAGTGGGATCAAGTGCTGTCCTGGATTGTCAAAAAAAGCTCCTGGATAACTCCTGGAAAGCTCCTGGAAAAATGCTTTTTCTTAAATGGGAACCCTGTTTAAGATTGAGGGCCGCTGGTGTTAATGCATCATCAGGACTGCACTCAAGGCAGTTTGGAGGGCAAACAAACACAGTTTAATATTTAAGATCCTGAACTAACCCTTAAAGAATTTGTAAACTAGGCAACATTATAAAGAATATCCTTCCTTAGTTTAAGTAACATTTGTTGTACTGTAGCCATAATGTGTGCTATTATGGTCCTGAGTTGCAAGTGAATGAAAAAACAGACTGAATAATAATAACCTAAATGTTTAAACCTGCAACTGCTCCTTATTATAAAGTCTGAGTATTAATTTACTGTTACAGTTACTCTGGTGAGCTCATATTGTAGGACAGACGGGATAACATTCAACACAGCGTATAAATAACACAATAAAATGAATAAAATACCATGAATATAAAAGATAAGCTGATGTTTTATGTCTGTTTTCTTTCCCTTTCGTAGCCACTTTGTGAAGATGAAGGCCGCCCTGCTGGTGGAGCAGAGGCAGCTGGAGGACAAGATCCGGCTGGGAGAGGAGCAGCTGAGGGGGCTGAGGGAGAGCCTGGGGCTGGGGCTGGGAATTGGGATGGGAATGTCAATGGGATACGGACATTACTGAAAGAAAAGCAGCCTAAAGAGATGAAGAGGCGGTGGGGGGGGGGCTACTTAAAGGAATAGTTTGACATTTTGGGAATATATTAGATGAAAAGATACCACTGTCATGTCTGTACACTGTCCAAAAGTAACACAAATCTCTAAAACTCACTGTTTTAACATCTCATTTGACTTCCTGGAGTCTTTATGCTAAGCTAAGCTAACCGCCTTCCTGGGCATAGCTTCATATTTAGTGTTCCAAGATGTCAAACTATTCCCGTTATAGCACGTAGATCCAGAGGTTCCAGGACCAAAAAACACCATGAATGTTTTTGAGTCGACTCCAAACACACGATGAAGGCCGAGACCAAAACAGGACGAGTCCAAGGTGGAGGTCCAAAGAAAAGACTGGACTTTGGTGCTACAGAAGTTTGAGCGTGGACTCACAGAAATCAGATAAATCCTCCAAACACTAAAACCAGAAACCATCCTGACAACAGAACCGTGTTCAGAGATCAAAGACGATAAAAGGACATTACAGGAGGAATTTTCTCCCGAATTTCATCCAAGTAAAAGAAAGTGGGGGAGGAAAAGGATTCAAACTGAGGTTGTCACTTCACTAAGAATGTAAAATAAAGCCTGATAATAACCACATTTTTACTCTCTGTGGCCACAGTAAGGTCAAAAATTATACCTTCCCGCTTCACATTGTGTGCCTGAAACATGTACTGTAAAACTAATGACACTTATTCTAACCACACTACGTTGCCAAAGACATTTTGTCACTGAGACGCTGCTTTATTTTGTTTGTTGTGTGTTTTCTTTTTGTATTTAAATCTCCTGGTTCAGAGAATCGAAGGAGACACTAAGAAACTGTGTTTTCCGTTAACAACACTAAAGTCCACGTTGTGAGACGCAGCCGTATTAACTGCCACTGTGGGAAGTTAGCTAATTTCTCCCTTTTTTTTTGTATTATCTTTGTTGCTGGCTGACACAACCCGCGTTCAGCAGTTACATATACTGTATTATCGATCATAATATCAGCATATCACATCACTTTATTACTGTAATGTGTTACCGCGTGCGAGTTTGAGACTCCACCGACTCGTTATACTGTCACATATTAACTGTTATGTACAGAAGACACTTGTGTTTATAATGTATACGATGTGTATATAGTGATTGTGCTTTGTGAAATGACTGGAATCGGTTGTAAAAACAGAAAAAGAGGAGAAAAAAAAGATTGGTTGTAAAAGATGAATGAGGAGAGCGGGAAGAGTTTGAAGTTTACTGTATATTTTTAAAGGGGACAGTTTGGTTTTGTTGCAATTTTTTGCCCCAGAGGACATTTAATTTGTGGGGTTCATATATATTTTCTGGGGATTGAGCTTGACGAGCGTCAGACGAGAAGATTGATACCACTCTTGTGTCTGTAGCAGGAAGTATGAAGCTACAGGCAGCGACCGGTTAGCTTAGCTTAGCATAATGACTGGAAACAGGGGGAAACAGCTAGCGTGGGTCTGTCTAAAAGTAACTAAATCTGTGTACATATATATCTATATCTATATATATGTAGACTTTTGTCTTTGTTTAAATCCGAGCACAACCCAAAGTGTTAAAACAACGCACAGGCATGCTAGCTGTTTTAGCTAGCATGTTTTAGCTAATCAGGTTAACTGCTTTAGCTAGCCTGACTCTGTCAAAACAATTGGTCTTTTATTGTTTTTAAAGTTTGGTTTCCTTTGATATCACTATTAAATATTATATATTACTAAATGCTAATGTTAGCCAACTATGTATAAAAACTATACAGTAGCAGGTTAGCTTTTTAAGCTACGCTGTGGCTGTGTAATTTTTATGCTTTGTGTTTTTCTTCGGATTAAAACAAACAAGATGTAACGTGAACTTTAGAGGAGATGGACTTTGTAATGTTTGGAGCCAGGCTAACTTTTCCCCTCCGTTTTCAGTCTTTATGCTAAGCTAAGCTAACTTTAGCTTCATATTTAACACAGAGATGTTGGAGTGGCATCAATCTTCTCGT